ATTATTTTTTAAAGTGCTTTTATTTTCCTCACTTAAATTAACAATCATTGCTTCATTATTCCAATCCCAAGATGCTATCAATTTCAAAACTCGGAGAAACCCTACAAATCCACTACTAGGTCTATTCCAAGGCAATGGTTCTAAATAAACTTGTGAAGACAGGCATTCAATCCACTCTTCGTCGACATGATCGCTTAACAAATGCGTACTAAACCATCGTTTCGTAAGTCGGATGGTTAATGACAAACTTGGCCACTTGTTACAGAGGGTCTGAATTTGTAAAGTATGCATTGGAATCTCTACGAACATTCGTTTCTCTCTTTCTAAGGCTTTTGTATACGTATCTTTTTTAAGTTGACTAGATATCTTATCTTTGATACCACGATCCAATAATGTCATTTCTCGCTCATTATATATTCTACATCTGAATGCGAATCCAGAATCAGCGAGTATATCCATATATGCTTCTGAAATGATCGTATCGCTATTGTCTGTTACTACTGTAGCGCAAGTTCCCGGAAATTGGAGCTCTAATTGTGATGCAAGTCGTATATAAAATGCAATTTTCATCTTTTGTATGGTCACAATATCATCAGGCCATCTCACAGAATGTTCAAACTGAATTATAACTTCAATTGGATCCACATAATGTGATATTTTCTTAGCTGTGAGAGCAAGCGGTTGGGGTATAAATATTGAAGCATACCTTAATGTTGAGCTTGCAGCTCGAATGCCTGAAAATCTCAATGGAACATCCTCTAATGCCATAAATTGTTTAACTAGTTTATCGAATGCTTGCATCACATCTCGAAATCCATTAGCAATTCCATTTTTATTGTAAATACTTTTTGGAATGTTTGTTGAAGGTATGACAATATCATTCAATTGTCCTGTAAAATATTGAATTCCTTTGCTCTCATTTATTCCATAATGGAGATGAAGTAGATATTTGACTATCCTGCTAACAATGAGACAACGTTCTTCAATTCCTTTAACATCCCAAACCACACATTCTAGTATACTACCATCTTTAAATCTTCGGACTTCTGCTTTTTTTCCCCATAATTTTCGAAACTGTGATGCTGCTGTTTCGTCTTCAGGAGATGGCCCATAGTCTATTAGTCGATTTGATTGTTCAGGGTTGAAAACAAGACCAATGTAGAGTTTTAAATTTGAGGATGAATATGAAGGAGGTACTGATGAGATTGACCATGTTGGAAGTTGAGCATAATTTATCGTTATTAGGCTGACACGATTAGTGAGACCTTGTTTAAGTTGTACAAGAATTGTTCTTGCGAAATGTACAAATGGATCATGGTAGTCTAACTTCACCGAATCTGTATAATTACAATAAGAGGTTGGTATTTGCGTTATTCTATATTATAGGACATCAGGTAATCATAAATTATATTAGTTTTTTAATTGAAAATATATTATCACATTAAAGCGGCAATATCTTAAAAACTTACTTTGCAACATTATCATATCTTAGTTTAGTATCATTCACTTTTTGCAAAAATAATGCTTCAAATCTATCCGCTTCGTTTTCATTAAAATATTCCATTGCAATCCTAGCTTCATGTTGTATCTGCAGACATCAAAAGATGAAGAGTCGCGTATAAATTGCGTAAGGAATTCTTATATATTAGCTCAAACTAGTTGCAAGCATTACTGAAAAGGCTGAACATAATTTACTTGTTCAAGAGCAGTTTTTGTCATCCCGCTTAACAAATTCAATTTTCCGGAATTGTCAACAAATACAACGTCAAAGTTTTCTGTAAATGACTCCTCCGAAAACTATATAATTTAGATTGATATAATTGATAAGCAACAATTAAGATTAAACATGTTTTTAAATGATTTGAAACACAAGATTCAAAGTACTTCTTCAGATCCTTCTAATTTGTTCATGAATACTGGATTTCGGATAAAATCATGGTTTGCTATTAACAATTAGTAAATAGCAATGATATAAATATAATATAATTTCAACGAATAAGGAAACATATACATTATAAAATATCACTTACCTA